AGGTTTAAAAAAAAGAAAGAGCTACAAACATGGACTTCTGCCGACAAAAAAAAATCGCACAGATGCAGTTCTGAAGCCCAAAGAAAACCCTGATACGAGTAACAACTAACTAACAAAAGAGCTCAATACAACCGTAGAGCAGACCTATATATATATATATATATATATATGATAAAATGAAGAGCAAACAAGAAACGTATATCAGTCCAACATGATTCACACTTATGGAAGCTTGGTTAGAGACTGCGAGAAAAAAAAAATTCTCTCAATCTCTGACGAAGCTTTAATAAATGTGAAACATGTTAGATTGATATACGCTTCCAATTTGTTCTTATCAACTTATAATCCTGCAGGATTCCAACCCATTTTTGATCTAGATCTGATACTTAACTCTCTATCATACACACACACAGACACACACACACACACAGAGACACACACACACACAAACACACACACACACACACACATATATATATATATATATATATATATATATATATATATATATATATATATATATATATATATATATACACACACACACACACACACACACACACACACACACACACACATATATATATATAATGAAAAAAGAAGAGAATGAAAGTAAGATAAAGAAGAGAGTGATAAAATTTTAAAAAAAGAGGCAAATGAAACAAAGAAGAGATAAAATGAAAAAGAAAAGAGAAAGAAAGAGAGAACATATAAAAGGAAGAGAAATAGAAACTTGAAGGGCGAGAGAGAAAAAGAGAGAGAAAGGGATGAATATAAGAGAGAGTAAATAAAAAAAGAGAAGGAAAACTCAAGAAAGACGTTGTGACGCAAAAGGATCGTTTCTGTAGGTTAAGCTAGTGGTACCCAATGTTTTTTTTTTCCTCTGGACAGCATTTTCGGATCGAGTATTTGCGTGCTCTTTACCAAATTTTCTGGAAATTTTCAGAAAGCAACCAATAGCATGAACATTGCGTTGCAATGTTACAAATAAAATGTTGACATATGTTATTGCAATCAACTGTAATGAAAATCCATATTTTGATTTTCTTTTATACAAATACCCTACTCGTTGGTAGTGTTGTATATTAATTTAAACCATGGCATGTTTAGTAGAAACTGATAGCTTACTGAATTTTCCTTCTCACACACACAGTAAGGTCATCGATGATCTACCCACCTCTAGTTTCTCATACCTAACGTAGAATAGTGTTTGTTGCATTTATGTAGTTGTAAGTTGTGATCATTATATTGTTGTAAATAATGATCATTACGTAGTTGTAAGTAGTGATCATTATATAGTTGTAAGTAGTGATCAATATATAGTTTTGAGTAGTGATCATTATCTGGTTGTAAGTAGTGATCATTAAATAGTTGTAAGTAGTGGTGATTATATAGCTGTAAGTAAAAATTATTATATAGTGTATACACTGATGATTATATAGTTGTAAGTAGTGATCATTTTATAGTTGTAAGTAGCGATCATTATATAGATGTAAGTAGTGATTATTATATAGTTGTAAGTAGTGATCTTTATATAGTTGTAAATATGATCATGTGTACTGTATACGTACAGAAAGTACAGAAATATTATGTTTTCTTGAATTATTAATTTCACTAGTTAATAATTCGTGTGAGCATTACATGACTAACGTGATTATCTGTATCTGTACATTATTTACATTATTCGGACTATTGTCCTCAACTTTGTCACCATATTTATTACAACGTTTCGGCCGTTGTACGAACCGGCCTTCTTCAGTTGGTTGGAATGTCGAACTGAATCCTTTATTTCGCTCACTGTTCTAGTTCCACGTGCCATGTTTATTGGATGTCAGTTATTAGTTATCTCCTGTTAATTTCCCTCTGAAAGTTCTCCACTGCCTTAACCGGGTATTGAACTCACACCCTTTGGGTCTTTGAGTTGAAGTAAGAAATAGTTTAGGGGCTTCATCAGGCTGGATGAAGCCCGTTACAAATAGAGTTTTACATTTTTTCTTAGAATTTTTTCAATACTCTTGTATATATATAAAATATATATGGTTATCTCATATATATATATATATATATATATATATATATATATATATAAATACACTGAGGCGGCCTGACGATTGCGTCTAGCATTAAACAGCCTGTCGCCTCTGAGTGTTGCCTTCAATGTTCACTTTTATATTTATATTTACATACGCTCTATCTCTGATATTTGGTACTTTTTTCACATTATATATATATATATATATATATATATATATATATATATATATTTACATTTTTACATACGGACAAAAACTTGTTTACTAAAAAGATGCATTCATGTTTCGATGCGGCTGCATCTCGTCTGGTGAGAAACAAAAATTTTGTCCGTATGTAAAAATTAAAATGACTAATTAAATTTATATTTTCGTTCTCATTACATTCGCATATATATATATATATATATATATATATATATATATATATATATATATATATATATTACTTAGGATCGAAATCTAAATTTACTTCATTCGAATAGCTATTTAAACCAACAAGAAGGCCTATACAGTCATTGTCATCTTTTTTTTATTCTTTCACACTTCTAAGTTGAAATGCCAATATAGGTCTTCTTGTTGGTTGAAAAAGGTATTCAAATGAAGTATTATATAAATAAAAGCCCACCAGATCTAATCAACGGTAACTAAAATAGTGTACCAATTCCAATTATATTACTATTCGTAACATACTTGTTGACAACACTAATATAATAGTATCATCTACATGCAAAAATGACTAAAAATAATGGAAGCATTATTAATAAAAACAAACAAACCAACACTTAATAATATTAACTTTGAACATGGACATAATATCTTGACCGTGTTTTGAAAAAATGAAAATATTTTATAAAACATACATACAACAAACTATTTCTTATTTTAACAGTTAAAATATAATCCTTGAAAATGGCTAAATGTATAGCCGAAAGCGCTCGGATAAAAAGAACATTAGGACAGTTTTTATATAATTTATCATCCGAAAAAAAAAAAATATTAGATCGCTTGTGAAATTGTATAAAAAAAACTACATAAAAGCAACTTGTCTGTCGTATTCAATGAAATGTACATGAAAGAATGATTGCTGCCTAAACACACACACACACACACACACATATATATATATATATATATATATATATATATATATATATATATATATATATATATATATATATATATATATATGCGTGTGTGTTTTTGTGTGTATGTCTGTGTGTATTCGCTTTTGCTTTCGCTTTTTTCTTCTCTCTTTCATTTCATATCTTCCTTCTTCTTTTAATCTCTCTTTCATTTTTCTTTCTTTCTTTTCTTCTCACCTGTCGATCTCCTTTTGCCCGCGAGACTTATCGGGTTGTTTTAATTTTCTCCCAAATAATTAATTTAATCAATTTCATGGATTTAATTAATTTGTTGAGTTAGTTACGTTTCTAACAATCATTATTTAAAGTCATTAATTAAAACAGCGCGGAAACGTTGATTTCATAGCATTTAAAACTCTTTCTAGCGAGCCGTTATTAAAATGAGAATACAATCATCTTAAAGCAGCAAACCATAAAACAAGCCTTTATCATTTACTGATTTATAAATTGATTATGTAGATGTGAGATGGCCTAACGGAAAAGAAATTCAAACAAATAAGTTCAAAGTTCATATTGTTCTTGATGATGTTCACATAATTCCCTAAGGAAGGCATGAAACGATATCTGCCAGCCTGCTACTCATCGACAGATGATTTAACAAAATTCGCAATATTGTTTTGCCAGTAAAGCATGTCAATATCTAAAGGATGTTTGAATTCTGATGTCTATACTCTTTCTTTCATATTCAATTTTCTTGGCTCGACTAAAAAGAAATTGTCAAATTGATTCTGATATTTGGTTCAATTTGAAGAAATTGAAATGAGAGAGAAAATGGAAAGAAACGGGGAGATAAATAAAGAAGGGAGAATCCAATAAAAAAAAAGGGTAAGAGTGAGTGAGTGAGTGAGTGAGTGAGTGAGTGAAAGAAAGAAAGAAAGAAAGAAAGAAAGAAAGAAAGAAAGAAAGAAAGAAAGAAAGAAAGAAACAGAAATGAAAGCTGATAAACAAAATAATTATAAAAACAATTTGGAGAAAATAAAGAAAGAAAAAAGAAGGGAAAAAGAAAGAAAGAAGGAAAGAAATAATGAATGAAAGAAAGAACCAAAAAGAAAGAAAAAAGAAAGAAAGAAGGAATGAATGAATGAACAAAAAAGAAAGAATGAAGGAAAGAAAAAAAGAAAGTGAAATGCTGATAAATAAATATGAAATAAAGAAAGAAAGATCGGAGTAAGCATGAATGAATGAAAGAAACAAACAAACAAAAAAGAAAAAAGAAAGAGTCAAGATTGTAAGAAGGAAAGAAAGCAAGTAAGAAAGAAGGAACCGAAAAAGAAAGAAAGAAAGAAAGAAAGAAACAAACAAACAAACAAACAGAACTGAAAGCTGATAAACAAAATAAATATGAAAACAATTAGGAGAAAATAAATAAATAGATAGAGAAACAAAGAAAGAAAGAAAGAAAGAAAGAAAGAAGGAAAGAAATAATTAATGAAAGAAAGAACAAAAAAGAAAGAAAAAGAAAGAAAGAAGGAATAAATGAATGAACAAAGAAAGAAAGAATGAAGGAAAGAAAAAAGAAAATGAAATGCTGATAAATAAAATAAATAAATATGAAATAGAAAAAGAAAGATCGGAGAAAGAAAGAATGAAGGATAGAAAGAAAGAAAGAACCGAGAACGCAAGAAAGAAAGAAAGAAAGAAATGAAGGAAGGAAGCAAGGAAAGAAAGGAAGAAAGAAAGAAAGAAAGAAAGAAAGAAAGAAAGGCAAAATGTTGGAAAAAACGATAAAGAAAAAAAAGGAAGAAGAGAAAGAAAAGAATAATATAACCTACTCCTCCCGATATCCTCCATCTTTAAAAGAGCCAGACCAAGCCAGAAATTGTGTACTGCTGCCAAATTTGAAAAAGAGCTGCCCAGTCTTCAATTTCAAAAATCCAAAAGCATCTCCACGTCATTATTAGGGATGAATCGTTTTCCACCCTACAACTCGTTTCCCACAAACGAAAAGTGTCCAGCCTCTCGCTGCTCTATCGCTATTTCTATGGTAAATGTTCAGATGAACTCCATCCCTTAGTTCCACCAATTTAAACTTTACGGCTAAGACTCGCTATGCCACGCCCATTTCAGCGAGTCGCCCTCATTGCCTCTGTATTCTATAGATGAGATGTAAGTTCCACTCGAGCACCTCCTTCTCACGGACCGCTTGTGTGTGCAAGATGATGCTTCGCCGATCACTGCAATCTTAACCTGTTCAAGTCTAAATTAAACTGTTATGTTTCTCACTTATTAATATGAACTATGCCTCTTATTGCTTACTTTGTATCCTATATATCGAGAGGCTCATTTCGTACAGTTTAAATCAAGATAAGACACTTGGAATCAAGACGGAGAAACATCACAGAGAATGAAAAAGAATCAGAAAACTGGACACCAACAAGAATATTCTTACACCCACGCATATTTGAAAAGTTAGAAACTTCGCATGTTTTCAGATACGGAAATCGTTGTATGTCAACAAACCGGGTGTAAAAGCAAAATTGTCCAAATCGTGTAAAAGCAAAATTGTCCATTTTTTAGATTAAGCTCTGAACCGTTCTATGTTAGAAATGATTAAAGATATCTTACTGGAATACACCGAGGTTTGTATAACACAATTGGTTTCTAATTGAGCAATAAGAATGTATAATTACTTTCTAAGCTTAACAAAAGAATCCTGATGAAAGTGATCATAAACGAAAATGATATATTCATCATTAATTAAAATGATAAAAACTCTATAGAATGGTATAGAAAGTACATTGAATTAGGATAACTCTATGGAATGGTATAGAATATTTTAAATGATAAGATCTCTATAGAATGGTATGGAAAGTACATTGAATTAGAATAACTCTATAGAATGGTGTAGAATTTTTTAAATGATAAGATCTCTATAGAATGGTATGTAAAATACATTGAATTATGATAACTCTATGGAATGGTATAGAATTTTTAAAATGATAAGATCTCTATAGAATGGTATGGAAAGTGCATTGAATTATGATAACTCTATGGAATGGTATAGAAATTAATTAAATGATAAGATCTCTATAGAATGGTATAGGAAGGACATTGAATAATGACAACCCTATGGAATGCTATAGAAATCACTTTAAACGACAAAAATACCATAAAATGATATGTAACATGCATTGCATGGTGCAAAGTCTATAGAATGGTATGAAAAGTACAATTAAGGATAAAGTATTTTTAGAAGGGTTTGGCAATCACTTTTGTTGATAACAGTTGGTATGGATCTCTCTATATTTCTGAGATGAGGTATTATGTACACAATTTACATTATTCGGTCTATTGTCCTCATCTTGGTCGCCATATTTATTACAACGTTTCGGCCTTTCAGTATCTGTCTATATTTCTGAGATGATGTATTATGTACACTATTTACATTATTCGGACTATTCCCCTCATCTTTGTCGCCATATTTATTACAACGTTTCAGCCGTTGTACGCTCCGGCCTTCTTCAGGTGGTTGGAATTTCGAACTGAACCCTTTATTTCGCTTACTAGGGTAGACTGTTCTAGTTCCACGTGCCATGTTTGATGGATGTCAGTTATCAGTTATCTCCTGTTAATTTCCTTCTGAAAGTTCTCCACTGCCTTAACTGACACTCTTTGGTCCTCAAAGACACATGGCACAGTGGATAAAGGCGTTGGTGAGATGACAGGACCAAAAGAGTGTGAGTTCAATACCCGGTTAAGGCAGTGGAGAACTTGGAGGGGGGAATTAACAAGAGATAATTGAGAACTGACATCCATTAAAACATGGCACGTGGAACTAGAACAGTCTACCCCAGTGAACGAAATAAAAGGTTCAGTTCGACATTCCAGCCAACTGAAGAAGGCCGGAGCGTAAAACGGCCGAAACGTTTCGACAGTAAATGGGTGGGGTCAACCTAGTAGCACGCTCAAATTCATGCAGTGAAATATCTCGTCAGAGAAGATGTCATGAAAATCTTTATAGAAATGACAGAGAGAAGCCACGGCATGTCTTTGAGAAAGAGACTGGAGTCGAGGTGCCAAGTAAGTCATGATCTATCAGATTGCATATCCGTCCTTGTATTTTGTCGAGAACCTCAAGATGAACAGCGGGGGTACCAGGCCATATATGACAACAGTATTCAATGCAAGGACGAGTGGTAGATTTCTAGATGCGAAGGATGGTCTCAGAAGAGAGAAAAAAAACCTTCTGCTGCAACACAGAGAACCAACTTTCCTAGCAGTAGATGAAGCTATTGATTCAGTGTAGTTGTTCCACCTCAGGTCAGTGGAAAACTTGAGACCAAGAAGACGTAGAGAGATGTTCTCGTGAAGTTTAACATCAACCATGCTGATAAGAGACGGGGAGGTTTCTCTATGGTGAGTAAATGACAGCAATTTCGTTTTGGATGCATTAAAATTCACAAGACATTGCCTGTTGCAGTCAACCACAGATTGAAAGTCGTATTCGAGATTAACGGGCAGGTTAAATTTGTCAGCAATGCCGGATTTACTATTGAGACCGGAGTAAATGGTAGTATCGTCTGCGTAGATGTGGACTTGAGAATTTGCCGCCAGGAAGATCACTGATGAAGATCAGCGTTCGTATGGAAGGAACTTGAAATGAACCTGTTCAGGAAAACCTTCATTTCACGGTTAAACAATATAAATATTAACGGCTTTTTAACGGGAAAAAGTATTACGATTTGTTATTTAAGCATGCACACAATTACACACGCACACATTTCTTTCTTTCGTTTTTCGAGCCGATGCAGCCTAGATAGGCGAAACGAGTAATCAAACTTAGTTTCATTGAAAGGTTTTTAATTTGTCATATGATTTTGATGATGATCGTTTCTAATGTGACTGACCTGGACTTGCACACTCTGGTGCAGGTCGGGCATTAAAAGCATGCCATTACGAAATCGTCATGTATAATGATGTGTTTTTCTGGTGGGTGATCAGACCCGCACTAGACAAACATATCCGACTGCATTGGGCTCATGACCAGGTTGGTACCTCATGGCGATTCAGGGATTCCTTCTGAACCCCTCTTTACAGTTCTGCATATTTTTGTGATGCCTCTTGGAAGATCTTGACGCCGTCTCCAATACCATCTCTTCCGGTCTTCAGATAGAGTCCTCCAGTTATCCAGACCAATACTGAACTTATATAGTGCCTCTTTAAGGCAATCTTTGTAACGAAGTTTCGGTTTGGGCTGCGGTCTTTTTCTCATTTCCAATTCTCCATACATTAACTGTTTTAGAATTCTGTTATCCGCCAGACCGAGAACATAGCCCGTCCATCGCAATCTGTGCTTGTCTATAAGTTCTTTCTTTTGTAGAACAACAGCATCAAGGGTGTGAGACATCGAGTGCATTTCAAGCACAGACCGAAGGCATTGTTGATGAAAACGTTCCACTATCTTCAGACGTTTACGATAGATTACCCATGTCTCACATGAATATAGCAGAGATGAAAACCCAGGCATTATATATCTTAATTTTTGTCTGCTTTTTTATGCCCTTCCAGACCCCGAACCTTGAGTGCTGCAAATGCACCGGAGACCTTCATTATCCGTAACGCTATCTCACTGTCAAAAGAGCAGTGGCGGTTGAGGGTGCTACCAAGGTACACAAATTTGTCTACTACCCCAAATTGACTACCATCGACATAAATTGATGGCTCTCTATACTGAATTCCTCGGGCAGGTTGATACATCATCACTGTCTTGTCAAGGCTGATGGACACTCCTAAAGCCTTACATGACCCTGATAGTCGATCGATGAACTCCTGTGCGTGCTGAATTGTGTGTGCGACCAGGAAACAGTCATCGGCTTAGAAAAGGTTGCGCACTAATCTAAAAAAGACTTTTGTCCTTGCTAAAAACCTACATACATGATTACATATGAAAGTAATGAGATATGGAAATTGCATTCGACAGGCAGAAAGACAGACACATAGATAGATAGATATGAAAGGACTGAGATATGAACATTGTAATAGATAGATAGATAGATAGATAGATAGATAGATAGATAGATATGAATGAACCTAGATATGAACATTGTACTAGATAGATAGATAGAAATGGACCGAGATATGAACATTCTACGAGATAGATAGATAGATAGATAGATAGATTCATTTAAGATATTTCAATCAAAGGTTGCTGCCCAAATATATATATATATATATATATATATTATATATATGTATAGAGAGAGAGAGAGAGAGAGATGAATATAGGAATAGATAGATAGATAGATAGATAGATAGATAGATAGATAGATAGATAGATAGATATAAATGGACCGGGATATGAACATTGTACTAGATAGATAGATAGATAGATAGATAGATAGATAGCTATAAAACACCGATATATGAACATTATACTAGATAGACAGACCGAAAGACAGAAGAAAAGACCGAGATATGTGCATTGTATTAGATAGATAGACAGTATATTTCACCCGAGAACCTTAGCAAATAATCAGAACAAACTCATAAGTCATTATCGAAACAAAAATGATAATGATACTCGTCTGAAAAACGCCTCTAAAATGAAACGTTTGTTTCACCTTAGAACTTCTGTTTAATCAATTTGTATCAATGAATAACAAGTGACACACAAGCAGAAACAACTCGGTCAGAATAAATTCATTCTGTTCCGTTCCGTTTACACTCGACAGCTGTGTGAATTTGCTGGTCACGTGCTAAAATAAATCACCTGTCTTTTCCGAGAAAGAAATCAACCTACTATTCACATCTCAAACACAAAATGCTCAATGGACAAAGGAAAGAATAGAAAACAACAACAACAACGACAACAAAAGAACTTGTGGCATTGTATGTTTGCTGAAATCAAACCTCAATATAGAAAATCATGAAATGTATAATAGTGTTGACTGTAAGCATGTGTAACATATCCACCAGGAAAGTGGAAGCGTCGAGATCAAACTCCATTTTAAAACTTGGCGTTAAAACTTCGCTGAAATACTCTTGGGGAAAGCAATGGGTCCGTCCTTTCTCCTCGTTCTCACCTATAATTTAAATTAGCTTGAGATCCGTAGACGTATTGGGATGGCCAAGGACGCATTCCAAAAGCTGGGCGGAGTATTAGGAGACAGGAGGATTTCTTTGGTAACAAAGAAAAGAGTACTGAACTATTATGTGACATCTGTCCTCCTTTACGGCAACCAATGTTGGACGGCCTCCTCAAGGATGAAGAAGAGACTAGAGGCGACGGAGATGGAGTACTGGTACCCCATCCACGGCTTTGATTTTAAAATTTGACTTCTGGACTGATTACCATCCAAGGCTCTAGAGTTCAGTTTAACATGAGAAGAGAATAGATTATTTATTCAGATGTTGATTTCTTGCAAAATCTGGCATAAGCTTCTTAAATCATTTCACCTTTCATGATTAACCTATTATCACAACCGTAGACGTATTGTGATGGCCAAGGACGCGTTCCAAAAGATGGACAGAGTATTGCAAGACAGGGGAATTTCTTTGGTAACAAAGAAAAGTTGTTATGTGACATCTGTCCTTCTTCACGGCAGAGAATGTCGGACGATTTCCTCAAAGACGAAGAAGAGACTCGAGGCAACAGAGACGTGGTTCTATAGAAGGATGCTAAGGATATCATGGACCCAGCGTGTGAGCAACGGTGAGGTCTTAGAGAGGATGCAAACAATGGGGAAGCCTATATTTAACGTCAGGAAGAGACAGCTGACGTTTCTGTGATACGTAAAGAGGAAGGAGGGCCTAGAGAATCTGATACTCACGGGTCGAATAGAAGGAAAGGGAGACAAGGGAAAACAACGCATGACATACCTAGCGGGCTTAAATAAGTGGATAACAGAACGTGGTCTGGGGGAGGAAGCAGAGCGAAGGAACTTGTGGAGAGTTTCAAGGGATAGAAGGAGGTGGAGAGCCATGATCACCTACGACCTCAAAGGACATGGCACATAAATAGAAAAGAAGTAAACAGGGCTCACCAACCTTGGATAGCAAGAGAAGGAATACTCTGAATCTGTCAATAAATATTTTTAGATGAGGCATGGTAATTATTAACATTATATTTTTATTACCATATTCATGACGTTTCAATCCTTCTACGATCCGGCCTTCTTCAGGATCTGTCTCTGTTTCTGGGATGAGTTATTGTTACACTATTTACATTGTTCGTGCTGTTAACCACGTCTTTATTGCCATATACACGACAGTTTCAATCCTCATACGTTCCGGCCTTCTTCAGGAGCTGTTTGTATTTCTGAGATGGGGTATTGTAACTATTTAAACTATTTACATTGTTCAGACTGTTGTCCTCGACTTTATTGACATATTCACGACGTTTCGGCCTTGTTCGCTCCGGCCTTCGTCAGGATCTGTGTATATTTCTGAGATGGGGTATTGTAACTATTTACACTGTTCAAACTGCTCTCCTCGACTTTATTGTCATATTCACGACGTTTCGGCCTTTGTACGCTCCAGCTTTCTTCAGGATCTCTCTATATTTTTGAGATGAAGTATTTTAACTCTTTACACTATTTACATTGTTCGGGCCGTTGTCCTAATCTTTGTTGTCATATTCCGACATTTCGACCGTTGTACTCCGGCCTTCTTCCGGATATGTTTCTATTTCTTAGATGAGGTATTGTAACTATTTACACTATTTACGCTGTACTCTCCGACCTACTTCGTTGGATGTAGGTTGGAATTTCGAACCGAGCCCTTTATTTTGGCCACCCGGCTACATTGTTCTATTTCCACGTGCCGTGCCTTTTCTGCTGTGGCCAGGTATTGTCCCCAAAGACACATGACACAAAATCCTTGGTTGCATTAATACAAACAGTAGGCTGAAGCAAAGAATTGTGAGTTCCATTTAGTGAATGAAATAAAAAGTTCAATTCAAAAATCCAACGTCTATCACCTGAAGAAGGCCGGAGAACGAAAAACTATTCTACTATCTTTCCCAGGATTGTATGGCAATTCACAGATTATGATGAAAAGAAAATATGTGGGGCCATGAAAACTTATTTCCTCAAGGGTTATAATATTAAAAATGGTTGCAGCATAATCAAAACCAGTATTTCATTCTATAAAGAATCTAAATTTTATCAGGTTAAAATAAATAATATCGACTGTTAGAAAGTAGTAAGTAATATCCCATAATGCCCTCTGTGTTAAGCGTCCTGGGTATGACAATAAACTACATCTGTGTCCTGGGTAAGACGATAAATAATGTCCAACAGCAAGGCCTCTGATCAGGAGGTTTTGAAGAGCGTGGAACCACCTCTTAGTTGCTGATGGTCCCAGGTCCACCCTGACCCGGGGTGGT